CCCCCCCCCCCCGATCCGGCCCCACATTGTTGTTCACAATTATTGAAGAGATTTCTTCCTGAATGCGATGTAGGCATACTTCTTGATATTATATATTTAAAGAATTTCATGTACAGTTTTTCAAAATGTGAATATTTATTACGTAATTTTGAGTTAAATAGTGACAATTTTCTAAGTATTCGTAAACGAGATTATATCAAAAAGACGATTTTTAAAAAACGTTTGAAAGTTTGGAGCACAACACACCCAAATCTATGATATTAGTGCTACTTTAATAAAAAAAAATTGAATTAGAGAAGACCTCTAAATCCGTGGTTACGGGGTAAAAGTCTTTTTGTCAAAAATCTTACTTTAGAGAAAATAAAGGTTAGATTATTGAGCCGCTATTGATGCGTGGTATGAATTTGTATTTCCCGACACATTTTTGGCATGAAGGAGGCACCCTTTGAATTCGGTCGTTTTACGTAAATAAAATATAGATACTTAACCTGTAGTTACAGTACTTAACCCAATTTCGTCAAAAATTAGCTTTCACTTTCTGAAAAAAAGGGGGGGGGAAATAACACTTTTTACCTCGTGACCACAGAAATATTATTTTCTACTGCATTTTCTATACGGTTAATTAATTTTGAGATTTTTGTTTAATGAGCGCGAGGATGATAGCTTTTAAAGGTACAGGCTCTTTCCAGCTTTTTTGTCGTGGCAGCGAATGTTGGATGTAATTGAAATAGTACATCGGTTCAACTTTGCTAAGCGCACTATGAACCAATATGTCGTAATAATTCAAATTCTAATTAACATTTTTAATAAATTTCATCGTATTTTCAACAAAGGGTACAACAATATGAATAATTTTCAGCATTCTAAAAATAAATTAAACTCGTCGGAGTCATCGGAGTCGTAATCATCGGAGGGGGCTTCTGTATAATGAGAGGAAACTAAATTTCCTCTCCTCCTTCTTGACAATGGTAGTGGTTTAGAAAACTCCATTTTAAGGGCATAGGACATATCGTTTCCGAGTGCTGCCAGATAATAAAGTAATGCAGCGTAACGTGCATTGTGGGTTGCATTGGCGCCTACATCCTCCCTCACCCGAGAGAGGATCATTACAAAAGTGGCATTGCTTAGCCACAACCATACCTGAAGTGGACATTATTTTATGTGTAAGTGTACATACTGCAATAAAGTGATTGATGCTGGAGTTGTGATGGACGGAGTGGCAGCGAAAAGGGGAAAAACTGGCAAAAACCTGGCGCATTCACCGCAAATTCCATATGGATCTAACAGGATGTGAAGCCTCCTACCAAGAAGTGGAAGTTTTTATGAGGCCAAGAATAGTAGTTTTATTTTTTTTGGCTCGGAATTACTTTTTTAGGTACATAAGAACGCAGAAAATAATCCAATTCTTTTTTGTATATAAAATAATTTTTCCATTTTAGCAGCCCAGCAAACCGTTGCCCTTCCCATCCAAAACCACTCTGTTCCACATCACTAATCAATAATTTTTGTGACTATCGAGTAAAGCGAAAAGCTAACTGTCAAAGAAGATTGAATAATTACTTCAAATTTTTTTAAGGAAGTGTGAATTGTTCGAAGAACATATCTCTATAATTGTGAATAAACCTTTATTGAAAATTTGTTTCCAACATCAATTACATTGTTTTTATTTTTGTTTGATATTCTGTAAGTACCTTAACACGTAAGTAAATTAACACGTTTCATTAACAACTTGCCTTCTGAATGGAAGGAATAGGGAAAGGGCGAGGATTAACATGCGAGAGTTCTCGCACTGGTACGCTATTAAGCATATAATTATAATGGGCGCGATCGCGGAATCAACTCTGATGCACAACGACTGGACGATGAAGCTGATGAATTTCTGGGCAATATTACTCGCATGCTCGACGCAGATTGCCATGCTCTCTAATTCAAATTATAGTAAGGCCTACATTTTTGCGGAAAACACTCGCAGGTGCATGTGACAGGGCAATGAGGCAATCCTTAAGGGAAATAGCCATTTTTTTGGGAGGTCCTAATACCAAAACGTGTGTTTTCTTCAAAAACTTGTGACTATTAACAACACTAGCGTTTAAATCGTACACAGGTTATTCATAAAGTTGGATAGTCGCTCTAATTGAAGTAAAAGTTCTGCGAAATTGAAATGGATTAGTGAGAGTACTTCACATTAAGCCAATAAGGACGGTACATCAACATGGTAGGAGGGAGATCAACACGGTCATCTAATGGACGGTATCAAGACAGAATATCTGGAGTTCATCCGAGAAACGAGCATTACGCATGAAGATCACAGTAAGCCCATGAACTTTAAGATGTAGCCGTACAGAATTACCATTATTGTATACAGAAAAAGTGATATCGCATCGTTGATAAGCTCATTGATAAATGAAATAATATTATAATAAATGTTAAGTTATTATTTTGAAAAGAAAAAGCTGATGGTTTGTAGTTAGTTGCCATCATTTCAAATAACTGGTTTCATTAAACAGAACTTCCAGGAATCGTAATTCTGTATAGAATTGCACGTCCATTTCGTACGACAGGTAAGAAGATAACATGTATATCGAGACCCATTACCAAAAATGGAAGTAGAATATATCAAAATAATGTTATTATACTGAGAGAATTTATGAGCATAACAGGGTAAATAAAATAAATAATAACATTAAAAAATAGAGAGGTTCATTCTTTCATGATAGTTTGCAGAATTAGTAACAAATATTGAGGTTTATTAGTATTATTTGGGCAACAAAAGTAATTAAATATAAAAAGTAAAGCAATGATTTAAAGCCCTTGAACTTATGAATGGAAAAAAGTAAAAAAAACGACCGTGTTCTAAAAATTATCGACCTGATAGATATTACAAAAAGCACAATTGCGTAATTTTTTAAAATCTAATAAACGTATCAAAATTACTTTATGTCATGTTTTTCAGTGCATTTAGCACAATCCGAAGAAACGTTTTCATAAAAAATTTCGAATCAATTTTGAGAAAAGCATGCTTTAAACATGTTTAATGTCCTTATTTCACTCAAAGTTGCGCGAAAACTACTAATACTTTCAAACTTTGAAACTGTCATTAAATGAACAAATTGTGGAAAACAAATTTCATTTAAAGAAAAAATTACAATATTCTATATTGTAGTTGTGGTAGACGCCGAAAATAATATTTTGTAATTATCAAAAATTCGTAGTTAACAGTAAAAATAGGATCTATGCCATCTTCTAAAGTGTTTTTCATTCTAGAGAAAAATTAAGGAAAACATTTACAACCATTTTTGAGAAAAGTTTGAAAATGTCCCAGGGGCTTTATGTGAAGTGCCTCTAAAATTTAACGAATTTTTTTCGCAGTCGCTGGGCTTCAAGTCAGGCCAGATTTATCTGGCCGGGGAATATTCATTTTGGAAAAATCCTACAAATAGTTTAGGGGCGGAGTTTACAGGCGAAGAGGCATATAGACGTTTCGAAGAAACTACTGGTGTTACAATGGCACGTACTTTCTCGTACTGTTTATAAATTTGCCATTTTCGAAAATTCAGAGTTCAATGAAAATGAGACCAGGACCATTCTTTTAAGCTTTTCTTGTTGCAATATTGCTCGCAAACTACTACAATTAAAAATAATATATACATAAACTTAATGAAGAAACTAATTATAGACAACAAATTCAATTTGCAGGAAAACCTCTACCTTTAATTTCGTGTGAAGACGCCAAAAAGAATTCATACTTTTGAAATTTTTGAAAATTCAAAGTTAACATGAAAATCGGATCTATACAATTTTTATAAGTGTATTTTACTCTATTCTTTCAAAATATTTGCAGGAAATGTTTGATAACATTTTGAAAATGACCGGAGGGCTTCATATAATGTACCTTCGAATTTTAAAGAATGATTTCAAAATTTCAAAGCTTCGACCCGATGCAGATGGACAGGAAATTCTTCAATTTGTAAGAAATCTTATGCGGCGCTAGTGATGTTCACAAACGGACACACAAACGGACGTTTTGCTGACAATTGATTTTTCGTTATTAATGAACCCACAAAACAGGGATTCTGGCTATACCACGTGTTTGAGGAATTTTTCT